AAGCAAACAGTGGGGACGCACGTTCTAACCTAACCTAACCTATTCTAATAATATAAACGGTAATAATTATGATAATTTATTAGAATAGGTTAGGTTAGGTTAGAACGTGCGTCCCCACTGTTTGCTTTCTTGTCTTTGCTGGAATCGGCGATCAGCCGCCATGACAGTCTACGTATCTCGACTTGTACCAAGAAAGCAAACAGTGGGGACGCACGTTCTAACCTAACCTAACCTATTCTAATAAATTATCATAATTATTACCATTTATATTATTAGAATAGGTTAGGTTAGAACGTGCGTCCCCACTGTTTGCTGGAATCAGCGCCGGCGCCATGACAGCCGTCGCCGTTCGCTCGCGTCGTCACGTGACACGTCGTCTCCAAAGCGGTCCGGTTTCGAGGCTAAAACAGGAAGAACTTCCATGATGGTCTACGACCCTGGACATTAACCCGCTAAACAATAAATAATAATAATTTAATAATAATTTATGGCTAATGCAAATAATCTTTAAACAAAAATTTGACGTTTTATGAGATGAGAACCAGAGAGTTTTATGTGTATTTGGTTTTTTTTAATCTGTTGTTTGGACAATCATTATTCAGTTGTTCTGTCATTTTTATGAGTAGAGAGGCAGGTTTTTGCGTGAAAATTTAGTTCTATCTGCAAAAGTTGGCAAAACTTCAAATTCTTCTGTTGTAAAATTGTTAGCCTACTAAATCGGATAGAACACACTATTACTAACCTCGTGATTTCGCGACATGACATTTAGTAGTAATGAGAGAAATTTAGCAAAACTATAAAAAAATTTCATTATTATTTCACTAAACATAGTAATGAATAGTAATAGTGAAAGGTTATTTCACTAATAACATAAATCCTAAAAAGGATCTGTTTGATTAGATTATATGTTATGTAGAAATTTGTGTAAACTTTCTCTTCTCAAATGTTAGCTTGAATTCGTGCATCTTAAGCTATACTCTTTCTGAAATTTTAATTGCTACTATTAATTACAATAGTATCTTAATATGCTTTTCCCCCTAGGTGCTGCTGCAGCAAGCAAAAAAATTCCAGATGTTAAAATGTATACCTTCTTTCTTTGCGATCATTGTCTCGGAGATCGTCCCATAAAAACATCTGATGAATACAAAAGTAAACTTTAATTTAGTCAAATTTTTGGTTTTACGTTTTATTAATTTTTTCCTTCTCTTATTTCCTAGTTCAATTGCCTAAAATAGAAAATAGATCTTATTCTTTAAAAATTCCTGTTCATTGTGTGTCTGCATCAGGCCGTTTCGATATTTCAGAGATGAGATTTATCATTTCCGAAATAGAAGGTAAGATAAAACAATATATTTTCACTGAAGTATAAGCATTTCAAAAAATATTTCTAAAATTTAACTTTTTTTTAACTATTTGCTTCATCTGTTGCAGAAGCAGCAGAGCCAAAAGCAGAAGAAACTTCGTTCGAACCTCCCTATTATAAGAGTGCTCACTACTCTCTTAATATTCCTAAAAAACTTACGATGGCAAAAACTTTAATCTATCAATCAAAAAAATTTGAGGATGAAACCCTTGATGTAATTATATCTAAACTTGTTACCGTTTATCTGGATTTTTTACATTCCTGTTTAATTCTCCTTGATTTCAGACGTTTGTTGATTCATTATTTGATAAGCAGCCCAAATGGGAACTTCTGAGAGTTCATCTAAATCACACGATTCTAAAAAACACACAATTTGTGCTAAATAATATTAATTGGCAGACTCTTCCTTTAACTACATTCGTAAGTTAATTTTTTCCCCTTTTTTGCTTATTCTTTAATATTCTGAATTTTTATACAGAGATTTTCTATGTAGATTGTGTATATATCCAATCTGTACAAATTAGTTTTATTAGACTTCTCTCTCTGCCGTGAAACATATCAAGAATTTTTATGCGAAGAATTTACTAGCGAATCTGAAGATATGGATAAAAAACTACGTAAATTCTGTAGTTACGTGACTCTCCTTTCTCGATGTTTTTCAAATTTTGATCGCAATGAACTGGATAATTTTTACTCTTATTTGAAACTTTGCATCTTTCTGGTTTATGGTACGTATAAACTTCGTTAATATTCTGTGAAAAACTTACACAAAGTTATCATATTATTCAAATCATATACTATATTCCCAGACAGTATTAAATTATTATTTTTATCATATTTTGTATAGCTGATTATTCTGGTCTGGTCTGACTCAATAGCAGAGCCATAAAGCTTTACAGATGGGTGCAGGAAGGAAGTAATATGCCTTAGTTTTTTCTACCTTAGGTATCTGGCTCGAAAAAATCTTCAAGGGTACAGCTGGCCCTGCGCACCGCCTAAATCCGCCCCTAGTCTGACGTGATAATTCTTCGTGATTTTGCTTTGTTGCGAGATTGCGTCTCCTAAAATTTATTATGCAGATATTCATAATATAAAAACATTAATTAACTGGGAAATGCCTGCCTACAGACACGAATAATTACCACTCGCAATTCAGATGAATGTTCAGATTAGATCTTAATCATATTTATTTTTGTTATAGAAAGGTACAGGCACTCGCGAGAGTCACTTTTGTTTTTTAATCACCATCAAAACTTATGAATTCGTTTGGATGGTATGAACGTTTATATACTACGACATGCAATTCTCTCCGGACAAGAAACTCGCCATCAGCGCCACTTTGCACGCATTTGATCGTGCAATACTCAGGGCCCACTCTAGGGGCGGACAACCCGGACATTTGTCCGGGATGACAAATCTAAAGGGCACATTTTGGTTGTGAGTGTGACAAAATATAAGTTAAATTAAATACTTAAGTAATCGAAATTTATATTTGTCGATTTTTTCTGTGGCTAAAATTACCATGCAATTTACATTTTGTATTTATTATTTTTGCCTAAAAGCTAAGAAAATATTTGCATTCTTTAACTCTGAAGAAAACAAATAATAAAAGAGGGCTTTTGGGCATAAAGGAAAGCATAAGCAACAATGTTACATTTTGTCCCAAACCTTAGTATCACCGAATACTGCCGATCATACCAATAACTAGCTAGTGGGGGAAGGAATTTCTCTGAATAAAATTTAATTAAAAACTTTTTACGTTTTTACTTAAAAACACTACCACGCAAATCTTAATAGTTCGGCCATTTTGGCGATTGCGCATGAAACTGTCGATCAAATAAACTTAAGAGTTAATAAGAGTTTGCAGGACTAAACGTGAGAAAAAGTTTCTTTTGATTTTAGTATAGTTGATGTACTTTTGTTTAGTTTTTATAGGATATAAGTTTTTTGTTTGATTTTACAATAATACATTTCTGTAATATCATTAAAAATGCATCTAGTTAACAATTTGTAACTAGGTACAGATATATTTAAATTTTTACTGTTTTGTACTACTTGATTGTTAATTTTATATTACATGTTTCTCTTTAAATAAATTTAAGGGGCGACAATTTATCTTTTTGTCCGGGGCGACATAAATGCTTGAGCGGGCGCTAGCAATATTATAAAACCATGTAAAATAGTAATTAAAAGATCGAAGAATACTGAATATATAAAGTGTAATACTTCTGGAAGAGACATAATCATAGATCTTTTCCAGTCTATCCTGGTACACAACCATAAATAAACTAATAATAAAAAGACGTAAATTGTGACAATTAAAACTATCAATTTCATGATTTGCTTTGTTGAAAAATGTAAGCGTTAATACTTATTGTTTCGAGCTCCAACTAGAAAAAGTTCAAAAAGTAAAATTTTTGTATATTTTTTTTCCTAATTAAGTACTTTATTTGAATTATGAAATGAATGTGTTTTGGATCTCTTTTGCAGCCCTGTGTAAATGTCACTTTAAAAAAATGTTTTTATGTTGCTATTGTGCGTGCACTCGCCATTTTCAGCGACTATACTTTTGCATTTTGTCTTATTTGGCACTAGTATCATAATACTGTATTTATCTAAGTGCAATACACTAGTTTTTTCATCTTATTTTACTGGCAACAAAATATTTCTCACCTAAGTATAGCTTAAGTATTTATATTACTAATTGATATTTTTGTTCTATTAAACTTATTATCTGTGTTTAATAGCAGGAGATAATGAAGTACTGCGTCTGTTCAGAACTTTTCAAAACAAACTGATCGAAGATACATCATCATATTTTGTGAGAAACATCTCTGATTTTTACGAAGTTTTCGATACTATTAATGCAGATAATCTTTTCAAACTATTTACTGGACTTAATGTGTATGATCCTTGCGATGTATTAGAAGACTATATATTAGGTAAATTTCTCAACTGCAGCTGAGTTATAAATATTAAACTTCTCAACTCTTTATTTTAAAAATTTTATGTGATTTTTCTTTTTAGATAGCAGATTTCCTGAAGAAGACCTTACGATAACTTCTAATTAGGATTTCAACTAAATCTAAAAAATAAGCGTTCAACTAAATCTAAAAAATTTATGGTACTGTACTAATAAAAAATATATTAGTCTGTGTATCTGAATTTTTAAGTTTTTCTGAATCTTTTTTCGGAATTAAAACTGCCAAATCAGAACTATGGAAACAAAACTTAAAAATATTTTGTTGAATTTTTTAAAAATTCATGGAAGAACTTTTTGGTTAAATTAGTTATTTCAGGCGCATATAATAACAGCTCATCCTTTTTTAAAACCGCTGTCTATATTCACGATGACCATATAAATTTAAAAACATTTTTACCTTCATCCACCGCTGTGTTTTATTGCAGCTATAGTATTTGTAGTGATGCTTTTCCTCTCCTTTAAACATTTTGAATGCGGGTCGGTGGGACAGAGGTGAATAAAACGGAGTCATTTAAGTTTAAGAAAATGATCATTTTATAGTTATCCAAGGTAATTAGAAAACCCACCAGACAACTTTTTACTTTCAGTATTAGTTTACCTAGAGGTATAAAAGTAAATATTTTGGCTGTAAAAAATTTTTGATTTTGCACTATATCAACAGAAGACAACAAAGAATAATTAGCGGGCGGAAAATCTGAGTTTAATTAATCAGTTGTATAAAAAGGAAGAAAAAAATCAATATTTCAATAAATGCATAAGAAAATGGGTATGCCGGTAGTTTTTTTCGATGTTTAATATTAAAATTAACAATAGAAATGAGATTTGACGTAAAGTGTAGTTAAGGCTAAATGTTACAACTCCCTAAGATAAATGCAAAAATTTGAAGAGGAACTAAAAAATTTTGCTTCCCTGTGGATCAACTTAAAAAGATTCATCAGGATAATATGTGAAAATTATAATCTTTTGCTGTCATACATTGAGATAATCTGGGTAATTTTAAATGAGCTAATAGAAGGAAACTAAGTGAGCTTTTCAATAAAATTGAAGCTTATCTCAATGGTAAAACTGTGGGAAAAATTGAGGTTGATGGAACATAGGGCTTGTCCGGTCTCGCCAGTTAGCATTTCCAAAGAAGCCCATATTTCTATTTTATGGTACAATCTAACTTCTTATAAGATATTCTGAAGGCATTAGAGACGTTCTCTTGACAGCTAATTAAGACGAAAACTAATTAACGCGAAAAAATATTTACATTGTTCAACGAATACGACGAAAGACAAGCCGTCGTTATCGGCAGTGTGAACACAGTATATTTCTAACAGTTTTGAGAAAAAACTACTGAACATTACCTGTGAATCGCCATTATATATTCCGTATGACTTGGTTAACAAAGAGTAAAATTTATTTATATTCTTTAATTATAAAATAATGCATATACGAGGTCTGCTCAAAAAGTATCGGACTTTTATTTTTTCCGCGTAAACCAATGATGTGCGGGAGGCCCCTTTCGGTGGAGCTGAGGAGGGGACAGTCATGCACAGCCCTGAATTTTTTCCCGCCTGCAGGAAGCGTCAGTCGTTGGCAGTCGGCCTATGAGTGAGGACATGTAGCGAGCTCTCGTCGGATTCCACTAAGCTGGAAAATGACTGAACAACGTGAGCAGCGATATTACATCAAATTTTGCCAAAAACCTTGGCGATACCCAAGCGTAAACCATTCGCAACATTCAGCAGGCTTTCGGGGACGATCCTCGAGGCCAAAAAAAGCGCGGCAGGTCCGCAGCAATGTCAAGATCATGTTGACAGTTTTTTCGACTCCCGTGGGGTGGTGTATCGTGAGTACGCACCACAAGGCCAAACCATCGCAAAGGAGTACTACCAGGAGGTCCTTCGTCGTCTTTCCGATGCTGTACGACGCAAACGAACCTGAGCTGTGGTCGATCAAAACTTGGCAACTTCGTGGTGATAACGCATCCGCCCATTCTGCGCATCTGATTCGGGCTTTCGTCGCCAAACACAACACTCCTGTGGTTCGTCACGCTCCGTACTCTCCCCACATGGCTCCGTGTGACTTTTGGCTATTTCCCAAGCTGAAAATGCCGCTAAAAAGAACCTGATTTTAGTCGAGAGAAGTCGTTGTGCGGAATGCGACGGACCGGCTGATGGCCACTCCAAAAGATGCGTTCCAGCAGCGTTTCCAGCAATGGCAGGAACGCTGGGAGAAGTGTATACACTACCAAGGAGACTACTTTGAAGGAGATTAGAGTTTCGTACCACAAAATTAATTAATAAATGTATTTTTGCCGACCAAAGGTCCGATACTTTTTGAACAGCCCTCGTAAAACTAAAAAGATGGTTATTTTTTTCTTCTTTCCGCCCTGTGGGCACTAAGAGGGCCTCTTTTTAGCAGGCCTATTTATGGGTTCGGCGAGGCCCACAATGGGGTGACCGGGTGGTGAGGGACGGTGCCCGACATATCAGAGCGGACCACCCTCCGAAAAATATCTGGGGATTTTGCGACAGGTCCTGATTCGAAACCGGATTCCCCAGAGTATTAGGCTGCCACTTTACCTGCTTGGCCATCCGGCCACTCACTAAAAAGATGTAATTAATGATGCCTTTACTGCCTTTGGAAAAGTTATCAGCTTGCCTCTGTAGGAATCTGGGTTCATGTTCAGATCGTAAACGTTGAGAATTTTTCATGAATGTTCGGTCTCATACAGGCTCGCAGCCAGACCCATGATGGATATGATTTAAAAGACCTTTTAGTGCTCATAAGATAAAGTAAAATATTTTTAACATATTCTCCTGTTTTTTTTTTTTTTACTTTCCCGGCTGTTATGTATGTTACACATAACAAGGGAAAGCTGGATAGTGTCAAATTTTACTGAGTTTTTTGCAAATCTTCACGTTTTGAGACCCCTGAACCTAAAAAAGTAAAGAAAAAATTTCGTGTGTGTGTTGGAATCTATTTCGTTTAATATTTCAGGATGAAGTGAAGATTTAAGAAATTTTAAATGATAAGCGTTATGTGTACGTTCAATTTAAAAACGGGTACATTAATTACGATGATCGTAATTAATGTACCCCTATCAGATTTATGTCTAGAGAGATTTAGCAATCCAATTGCAACCAAATCTCTAGATAACGTTGAATAAGCGTAATTTATTTACGATCACCCGAAACATGAACAATTATGATTAGTTTCTGGTTCTGTGGATCAGGGGTCTCCAACGGGTTTTTCTGAGAAGAGCCATGTGAACTGTATAATGACAAATCTTGGGAGTAGATACGAAAGATGTAGTCAAATATTAAGATTTTTTTATTTCTGAATATTGATAGTCATAAATTAATGTAAAATTTTCAATTGCTTTTTTGACAAAAAGCCATCAAAATTGTGGATAAATTTTGTGACATTCCAATATTTAAAATCTTTAAATATTCGTTAGACAATAGTGTCAGATATTTTGATTTTTACATATTACATTTCGGAAAAACTTTTTCTTGCAAAGGTACATAGAAGCAAAAATAGAAAATATCCTTTATACAACTCTTAAGACATAAATATATTTGTAAAAAGATTTCGACAGAGATTTGTAAAAATTTAACATACCTCTTCTTCAAATAAATCTTTATAAATATCATATGCTGCAAGGTCTATTAATTCTAGCTGACTTTTCATAAGCTTATATGCTTTGAACTAGTTCAATTGTCAATGATAAAGCACATCAATGAAAACAAACTATTCGGGCCTGATTGATTCTGAATTTCAGATTATTTATCTTTCGAAAGAAACCTAAAAATTCTCAATTTATATGGGGATATGTATGCTTTTATTGTCATTACAAACAAATTTGTAATCTTATCTCAGATAAAGTTAATATTACAACATTACCCCCCAAAAATTACAATTAATTCCCTTTTATTCAAGGAACTATCCCATCACATCACTTAGGGTCGCCATCTTTGAAAACTACTTTGTTGGCCGACGCGATGACGGGGGGAAAGAAGGTAAATGAGAAGATGCTCTTCTTTTTTTCATGCTTCTCGCAATTGGCATGCTTCGTAAATGCTTTAATTCCATCGTATTTAACACTAAATGAAGTTCGGCAAATGGTGCAACAAGCCGAACAAATGGCAACATCATGAGCTAACAAAGTTTTGAATTCATTCACTCGAGTTAGGTTTTCCTAAATATACAATTTCATGAACTTTTTTCAAAGAAAAAAGATTTAAACGAATGGTTAGACTGATTCATCTTGAAAAATTAATTTTTAAAACTCAAACGGCAGTAAATTTAGAGTGAATAATTATTTTTCATTTAGAATCGCGCAAATCATACGTATGCTGCAACTAATTTAGTTTGAACAATATTTTAAGTCAATTTTTCAGCCACACTTTAATTTTTTTAACCGAACGGTTTCGCCCTCTTTTCAGTTCTGCGTCAGGTTCGACAATACTGTACGGTAATACCCCGAACTTACGCGATAGGTGGGACCGAGCGATAACCGCGTAAGTCGGGGTATAATTTCTCAATGTGTGTAAAATCCAAGTCGGGTGTATATAAGCTAATAAATGTTCTCGTTAATCTTATATCGTCGTTCATTGTTACAAGAAATCACCACATAGAGTCTCTCGAGTATCCGTAGATATAACAAATACAGAAATAAATAACACAAAATAAATTGTAGCTATGTGTCAATTCCGCGCGACACGTCCGAACATATAAGCTGAACAATAGTGTGGGGGGGGAATGAGTAATCAAGAGTTGCGTGGCGCTCAAACAAAAGACGAATCGATGAGATTTGAAAATCGCGTAACTCCGGGTTCGCGTAAGTCGAGGTATTACTGTAATTTTTATTTATGTCCCTCTGGCGGGAATATATGAATATAATTACACTTATTGTTTATTTTTACAATTTATAATATAATAATTTAAATTTAAAATGAATAAATAAAGTAAAAATATTTATATAATAAACAAGTACAGAAAATTTTAAATTTATTTTTATAGACGAAATATTTTATTTATTATTATTCTCAAGGCTTTCAAATAATTTCCGCAGAGTGGTGCTGTTTGAAACTTTTGCACGTGTGGAACATATTTGAATACATCATGAAGAAAAGGTATTTTATAGGTTTAATTATTATGTATACAGTGTATATATAAATGTTAATTTTTAGGATAGTGATTAACCAACGAATGGATAATGTTTATATGATATTAAAATATATATATATATAATATGATTATTTTTAAAAGGTGAATTCTAGCTCTGAATGACGCGATTGGGACTTTAGAGTTGTAGAGCATATTGATAGGAACAAAAAAGTCAAAAGAACCATACCTCTACAGGCGAACCTTCCGAGATATAGCCCCCCCAAATGATTATGTAAACCTGAGACCTTCAAAAATGGGGTAAAATTTAAAAGTGAAAATTTTCAGAACTAAATCTCGAAACCGCATTTTATACGATTTCTGTTCGAACTTACTAGATAGTGCTAAAAGCTCCCTAAACACGAGGATATCCACCTTTCAACTGCTACTTCTGTGCAGTGCCATCGGGAGTCGCACCACTCTCTGCTAAGCCTATCAAGTGTTTAACAGGCAGCCCAGCAAGCCACCCATATATTCTAATGACACTTATTGGCAAAGACTAAAGAAAAGCCTGATACAGATACAGACCTCACTCTTGAATTTGTAAAGATTAAGATCATGGAAGATTGAGAAGCAATCAAGAGGATCATTTGTACATGAATACGGATGAAGCCATAGTATTGAAAACAATGGCCAGTAAACAGAAAACTGGATGTTGCTATTCTGGGGGTCCCCATTTGAAAAGGGACTGTCCTAAATTGGGCAGAGGAAAGAAAAAGAAAGAGCACAAAGTAAAATTAACTGAAGTCCAGGAAGAGTCTGATCTGTTGGAGAGTGATGAAACATATGAATGCCACTCTGCATGTATGAGCACACAAAATATGCCATTAGGTATGAAACAATGTCTTGCTGTGAAGACTACACGGAATTGGTATGTTGATTCAGCAGCAACAGCTGACATGATAAACAACAGGGACTTCTTCAGTAAATTGAACAACAAAAACAGTGAAATTTTAAGTATTTGAAGATAAAGTCTGCCCAAATAGGGACCACCATTTATTAATTTCGTGAAATTTTTAATTGGATATATTTTTTGTGTGTTTTTAAAGGACTTTTTAGTGTTTTTGCAGCTAGTAGCCTAAAAAGGAAGGTTGGTCGTTGAGATTGTACAGTCTGGAACACAAAGTATATCCATATGACAAAAAAACTAAAAAAACAGTGAAATTGTTTATGTGGCTGATGGAAGAGAAGTGCTCCCAAGTAGAGTTAGACATGGTGAACTAGTTTATGATGAAGGTAGTTCAAATGGCAAGTTAAAATTAGATAATGTGTTATATGTACCACAACTAAATGGGAATTTATTATTGGTCTTAAAAATGATGCAGAGGTTATGATGTGTGTTTCAACAGCAAAACAATGCAGTGCTACATAAAACAAGATGGCAAGACACATGCAAAAGCTAAACTTCAGGGATCACTATTTGTATTGAGCCAACACAATGCCTTACAAGTGTTATCCATGCCCAAGAAGCAGTGTGTGCATCTGTGGCACTTGGGTGTGGCCACCGTGATCCATCTGTTATGTATTATATGGCTGCCGAAAGTGTCAAGGGTGTGGCAATGAGTGTGAGTGCACTGTGGTATGCAAAAGTTGCACGAAAAATAAAACTCTGCAGAAACCATTTCCAAAAGAATTGATGATTAGAAGTAGTACAAAGCTTGAGCTATTGCACAGTGACTTGTGTGGACCCATGCAAGTGAGAACCCCTGGTGGAAATAGATATTACATAACAATTATAGATGATTATAGTGGTTATACCAAAGTTTCTGTTGAAGCACAAGTCTGAGGCTAATGTAAAAATAAAGGAATATATAAACTATGTTGAAACACAAATGGGATGCAAGGTGAAAAAGTTCCCATCTGACTGAGTACATGAAGACCTGCATAAATTTTTCAAAGAACATGGGTATTAAAGTTCAGATCGCAGCACCAGATTGCCCTCAACAGAATGGCAAGGCAGAATGGAAAATTTGCTCTCTTTGTGAGATTGTAAGAACAATGTGCATGATGCAAGATTAGGAAAATGCTACTAGGGTGAGGCATTAATGACAGCATATCATATCCAGAACAGATTACCATCAAACAAGGACCCAATGACACCATATGAGAAATGGCAAGGTAAGAAGCCAAATATTGAGTACTTCCACCGTTTTGGATGTATTGATTACACAAGAGTTCCTTTTGGAGTAAGAAAGAAACTGGATGTAAAGGCAACTGAAACAAGATTGGGATATAAAAGTGGCAGCAAGGCATAGCGATTGATGGATATTGTAACCAAGAAAATCAAGATAAGTCATGATGTAAGGAGATTCATATGACAACATGGGCTCAACCAACAATTCATTCTTCCCACATTACCACAGTGAAGATGACAGCAAAAGCAAAGTGGAAGTTAACCTAAATGAAAGAGCCATCTTTAACAAGCAATCTGAGGACAATCTACCACTCCTTCACTCTACGAGAAATAACAAAGGTTGATTGTTTCTCGTAGAGTGAAGGATTGATTGATTGAGGCAAGGCAAAGCATGGTTGTTTCTGAACCAAAAACCTACGACAAAGCCATTAACGGAAAAGATGCAATTGAGTGGATAAAGGCAATGGATGCAGAGATTTGTGCACTCAAGAAAAATGGAACAGAGTGTTGGTCAAACCACCACCAGAAGTAAATGTTGTTGGAAGCAAGTGGATATATAAAATTAAACATGATCCACATGGTAAACTGACAAGATACAAAGCCCGTCTGGTGGCACAAGGCTTCTTTCAAAAATATGGGGAGGATTATTGTAAGGAACCAAGTCTGAGCTTTATTTTTATTTTACTTTTATTTTGCTTTCATTATATTTTGTTTGGGGCTTATGTTTAGTTAAGACGAAGGTTTCCTCACCATTCACCTTAGTAACTTAAAAATAGAAGAAAAACCAACTCACCGACGAAAGAAAAGCGCCGTAGAAAAACTCGCGCACACTTGCGCTTCCCAAGCGGAAAAAAGTAAGTCCGCATCGAGAAAAGGGGGGGGAAGACCCCACAACCCAGTTAGGAATCGCTAAACCTTAAAAGAATAAAGCATCCCGATAATTGTTAAAAAAAATAATGTAAAAGGTTAGCGAAGTATTGTCGGAAAATAATCTGCCAGATAAACAAGAAAAATTTAATGTTACAGATAAGTATGTAAATGAGGAGAGTGAGCTCATTCAGAATTGTGACGTCACCTCACACTATAAAGCCTCTAACTCAAGTGAAAACGAACGAGGTGAATTCCTGATAGCAACGAGCTTTGGTGAGCTTCGTAGCAGTGAACGAGAGAGGTGTCCGATAGGATTTTGAAGTTATTCGATTTGTGGATCGACGATTATAGAAAGTCTTGAGAGTTTGAGGAAATAGGTTCCTAGTATATTGAGGTGACGATTAGGATCTTTAATTTATAAGAATTATTGTTTATAAGTTAATTCTTTGATTTTGTCGAATTCCAAAGGGGAATAGAATTAAGTTAGAAATAGATTGATTTGAGTTTGTCGGATTGATTCTTGTTGAATTTCATTGAATAAATTATTGTTTGATTTTTACTAAATACTGTATATAGTTTATTACTAGAAGTTTAATTAAATATTTGATTTTGTTATTGACAAACTTTGTCATTATTTAATTCGGTGCACGCTTAAAGTCCAGGCCTGGCACACTAACGCGAATCCGCGTAAAGTACCCGTTAGGGAACGGCTATTTCCGGCACACAGTAGTGTCAATAATCGTTGGAAAGTCAGAAAAATAATATAGTACTTTACATTATGACCAGGTGTTTGCTCCTGTGACAAAGCTAACAATCCTTATACCCAGTTCACATCGAGCATTTTGATTTAGATTGTGACCAAGGTCGGCGACTAGGCCGTGGTGCAACCTCTCTTGGCCATTTCAATTGCGATTGACTCAAGAGTTCTTGAAACTAGATCCAGTCATAAGAGAGATCCCACAATCCCACATGCGTGAGAAAATACAAGATGGCTGCGGAACACGTGTCGGGCTATCAGCAAAGAAATAAAAAAGACATCTGGAGAGACGATGACGTCTGTCTATTATTAGATATATGGCAAGAAAAAGTATTTATTTCTAACCAAAACTTCCATTTTGTTTGTTGGTGTTCGTGACTAACCACATAGTTATGTCAGTTTTATCATTGCTCGCAATAGCCAGGTTATTCTCAAGCAGGTTACCTGTGTGAACAGCTCAACGTTCAAGTGGCAACAAGTAAATAGAGATCGAAGTGAGTCGTGGATTGTGTGCGAATGTAGTATCAGGATCTTGCTCACTTTAGCAGCTAAATGTAAAATGCATGTGAATCACTATGACATTGAGACAGCTTTCTTGAATGGTGACCTACACCACACAATTTACATGCAACAACCTAAGGGCTATGACACAGAGGAACCAAGCAAAGTTTGCAAGCTTGTGAAAAACCTTTATGGATTGAAGCAGGGAGCTACTGAGTAGAACAGAAAGTTGCATGAAGTACTGACTGAATGCGACTTTGCGCAGAGCATAATAACCTTGTCTGTACACTGGAAAAAGATGCTATGAAACAATGCACATCATTATACATGTTGATGATGTAATCACAGCATCAACCTCCAAAGAAGCTTTAAAGATTGGCTTGAAGTGGAAACTAACAAATATTTCCACATAAAAAAAACCTTGGAAATATTGATCATTATCTCAGAATCAAATTCGATAGTGATGGAATATTCCATCTAAATCAAAAACATTTTATAACTGACAAACTAGTAGAATTCGGACTCCAAGATGCAAAAAACAGCAAGATTCCCCTTGATCCTAGATATTTCAAAATTAAACAGAGAGGACCAAGAATGGAAAGTAACAAACTGTACCTCAAGGGTATAAGTAGTTTACTGTACCTTGTAACTAACACACACCCAGATATATTAGCAGCAGTTTCCATCCTCACCCATTGTACTAAGGA